ATAGGAGGACGAATTTCCATTTTCGTTAAATTCCGCCTACATAAGGTCGAATGTCCCTTAATTGGCACTCGTAACCTGCGCAATAGAAGTTCATGTTGATCGAATTTTATTCCTTTTAGCATAGAAAAACAAACATAATCTTATGTAATTAAATATTTTTTGATCACCTCCGCCAACCTTACATATTAATTTAAGCTCACTAGTCAAGAATTAAATGTTTGACCACAAAATACTTTAAGCAGTTGGGCGGGCGAATAGATACCTATAGGGGCCCTACAAGTCAATTTTGCCGTAGATTTAATCCTGCGAAAGCTTTTTAGTTAGGAAGTCGCCTTTTCAGTTAGGTTTGTCATAGGTAATGAGTATTAATGTTGGCGAAATTGGGAGTAGTCTCGTGCCGACGGAATTTCCTATAGTATTAAGTATGGCAGAACCAAACTTTTTATTAATATGCATTATGCTATGGAAGAACCCGAAAATCAGTAAGGGAAAATAAAAACATATCCCTTCCCGAACCGGAAAATTAAGTCGGAAGTTGTTCAGATGTAAGTGAAGCCAATTTTAAGGAATCGCATTTATTTCAAGAAACAAGGAACAATTTCAGTTTTAAAAATTACTTTTTGCTAAACTGGGAAGTTTTTTGGCAGAAAATGCAGTAAAAAGTTTTAAGTGCACTTTGTTTTGCCGCACCAAGTTTTAGAAGAAAGTAAGCAAAGCTGTTCACATGTTAATGTCACATATTGTAATGAAAGGGTCTCTTGGGCCGTAAATATACAATTTATTTATTATCGCGAATGTTTAGATAAAAACCAAATCCAAATCACGTAGAAATATACTTTTTGAATACTATAGTTTGAGCTTATGCGTAATTTAGAAACGGAACAGACAGAAGAATAATTATTATGCCAAAATCCTGCTATATTTATGGCCACTCTTTTTGCATTCGCAATGTTAGAACAGAGCCCGGAAGTAATCCACTATGGAGGAGAGTAATCCAATGTAAGGAGGAAAGTTTATTCCTTCATTTCCAGTCAAAATGAATAATTTATCTTAACGTAAGTTTAAAGAAAACTTGTCAAAAATGCCTATTTGCCTTTTGGCATTACCTTAGAAAAAGTAATATGCACAGAAATTCGTCAGATGAATATCTAAGTGCTCTTTAAAGAGGTAACCTATTATATAATTTTTTATTAATCTTAGGAATAACAATTTCAGACTTTTGTCACGGACGTTCTTTTTGCCCGACAATGTGTTTTGTTGTTTAGAGGAAATTCTAAATGGGGTCCACATGGCCATCTTCATACGAACTAATATTCAAAAACTCGTTTTTTCAGTAAATTATTTTCATCAATATCTTATTTTAAAGGGTTTGATATAAAAGTTGAAGGAGATGTGGGTTTATGAACGAAATATTGAAGACACTGGAAAATGTAACGGCATTTAAAGGTCCATCTATAAGTAATTGTAATTAAATAACAAAAATATCAGCAATATTTAAGTATTTTGACTAAGGAAAAGTTCTAATAATACAAAGAAAGTGGTGTATTAATTTTTTAAAATTAGCAAAAAATTTAAATTTCAAGGAAGAACGTCCTTTGGGAAAATTAAAAAGATGTATTCAGTAAATTTTCGACACTGGACCCCCAGGTCGTTGTCAGACTTGAGAAAATGTGCAAAGAACAATTAACATTTAAAAGTGCTCGTACAGTACGACAGTCGTTTACAGTGGGCACTAATTGGTAGCCGCGATTTGCGTCACGCCGTGGTGGACATAATTAGGAGTCACAATAGCGTAGTGGATAATTAGCAACCGTAATTTCCGTCGGTCCGGGTCATCCGGTGTGGGCACTAATTGCGGTTCATGTTGGTCCATAGTTATCGTTTAAATTTTTCTTTGTTGTTTTAATTTATAGCCGTTTTTTACGTCTAAGAAACTTAGGGATTATCAAGAAAACTTCGTTTTTCTAAACAAACAATTAGTACTTTTCACATTTCTTTTAAGTAAGCAATTTGTCTAAGGTTGTTCATGATTACTTCTACGTTTTCGTAATGCCGGTTTGCGAGTAATTATCAATATGTCGCAAACTTCGACATGTACTGTACTTGTCAGAGGTAGGAGAAATGAAAGCATGGGAAAAGACGCACCCTTCTGGGCTTCCTTTGAATTATCAAATAAACCAGCCGTGGCAGAGTCGCCGAGGGCTGTGGCTGCAGCGGCAGCCGGGGGTTCCTCGATGGGCATGGAGGCCAGGTCGAAGGGCTTCTCCTGCTCGGCGGGCGTTGCCTGTAGGTAATCCTTGAGGGCCCGCTCCATGGCAGCCACATTTATGCGTAACTCATCTTGCAGGATATAGGTCTGTATGAGGGAGCGATCTTTGGAGGAGAGCACGTTATGGTAAAATGCCGCACGGTCCCGCACCTCGTCATCATCATCGTGCATGACGCTGTGGGATGAAAGAAAAAGACAGGAGTAAGAAGAGGGAGGAATACGATAAAATTGATAACCGTTTCCCCCATCAAACAGGTGGCCCTAAGGCCCAGGGACGTGCTAGTAGACATAAATAGAAAGGTGGC